GCTCTCTGCCTAAATCATTTTACTAGTTCTTTAAAGTACGTAAGGCATACTTTCAAGACTGCTTATTACCAACTACTACATCTATCAATTGGGTAGCGCTACCTCACAAACTGTCTCTATCCCTCTGGTCATTGGGTTCTGTACATTCCTCTCGTACGTCTGTGTATAGGCTATACTGCTCTGTCCAAACTGGGAAGAACAGGCGTAATGAATTATGGTCATTGTAGTTAATTAGCACATTTCTGCGCTAAACTAGGTTGAATATTTGACTAATGAAAACGACAACTCCCTTCAGCCCAGTGTCCCACAAAGTTCTTGACTTATGCCACTTTCAGGTGCTATCGGAAACGCGTAACCTCCGAGTTCAAATTAATGTAAGTTATTTGCGTAGAGCTTCCTATTTGTTGATTCTGATACCTCCTACGTGGGAACCTCAGGATCCAACTCTTCTGCCTAAGTTAGCAAGTCGGAAATTTCGGCGTTTCCTAGTTCCGACTAGCACATTAATTTATTTTGTGAATGATTTGTTTTCTCTCTAAAGAAACGGCGCGTTGAGCTCACAAAAAAACTAAATGGAATTGAAGTAATTGAACCACCGTTAGTCAATTAGTTGTTTAATAACGAAAGAAGAAAATAAGATGTTTCATCACTCAGCACTAGGGGGTAGTGGACAAGGGCAGAGGGAAGGGAACAAGAGAGCAAGTGAATGAGCAAGGGAGCATATTGGAATCCACCCCAGGGCTTTAATTAGACATGAAAAGGTGTGTTCATCACTGGAGAGGCCTGACCTGCAGGAATTTCAGCCCAATGCTCCCTGGGTGGGGAGATTTACTGCAGTCCTAATCACAGGTCTACACCTTTGCAGGCCCTCTGTTCAATACGAGGCAAGCTGGAGATGAAGAGTTTCTTTGTTAACTGCCATTTTGACAGTGTGCAATGCCAGACATCTGTGGCATGTGAGACTTTTGAATCTTCACCATTGACAAATTTCATGCAGAGTAGATTGTTTAGTTTAATTAGTAATGGCAATATTTCATTAAATGTGTTTCATTATTGATTTACAGTAAATAGCTAATTACATTTTATTCTCTTGCATTGAGATAGAAATTACAACTCCATACACAGTATATACATAAATCAAATAAAACTACTATATTAATTGCTTACTTTGAGGCATACATTTAGAATGTAATTCATGTTGTGTTATCTAACACTTGATAAATGACAGACATTACTCAATTTACCCACTTATTCAAACTGCACCATACTAGTTCAAACCAAGAGTAAACTGTTTTTGGGGGTTAGTAAGTGTTGAGACAACAGTGTGAACTGCTATCACTTACTTGTGTTTGCTATTTTCTTTTGTATATAATATATAAAACATGTAATTGAGCATCTAGTGATAGCAATACATCTGATTTCACATGCAGTCCCACAGTAAATGGGTAAAAACAGGCCTCCTTTAGATAGTTGGTAAAATGGTACATTTCAGAATCTGAATTTTACAAGATGCAGCAGGTACTGTAATGCTTTCAAGGCTGTCTGCATACCAGGGTGACCGCAGAGCAGTCTAACTATTACTCTCTTCATCTCTCCCCCCTCCGGCTCTCCCTCTATGTCTTCCTTCAACAACACAAAAACATCTTCGGGATGTGTAGATTTGTTTGTGTTTAAGCCTAAAGCAACGTCTGTTTATGGCAGTTAACAGTCTTCCAATTAGAGAGTGTTCAGAGAGAATGAACATTGAGTTCTGAAAGAAGCGTCTTTTACATCTCTAGCGTCAAGAAGCAGTGGTTCCCAACTTCGGTCCTCGAGTACACCCGACAGTACACATTTTTATTGTAGCCCCGTACAAGCACACCTGATTCAGCTTGTCAATTAATCATCAAGCCCTCAATGAGTTGAATCAGGTGAGTTTGTCCGGGGCTACAACAAAAATGTGTGCTGTTGGGGTTACTTGGGCTGGAGTTGGGAACCATTGGTCTAGAGCAGAGTTTCCCAAACTTGGTTCTGGGGCCCTCCCTGGGTGCACATTTTGGACACCAGGATGGACATAACCTACAGATCTCATACATTACCTGAGCAGCTGTAGGGTTGGATTCATTTGCAGGCATTACAAACAAATGTAAACATTCCCACTTGCTGTTGTTCTTGTCTCTGTCATAAGTTTACTGGTCTGTTAGAGAGATTGATGCCTGTGTGTTTATCTATCCTCTCTCTGAGTGACTGGCGTATTCATAAACACAAACAGCAATCAGCATAAATCTTTTATACAATACGCTTGAAGAAATATTATTCTAAAGACTAGCCTGATTCCTTGTTATTTCTATCTAATTATATAACTTGTCACTGATGCACGCTCTTATGACTCAAACCAAACACGCCCAGATAATGGTCTTGTTTGAGGGGGAAATTTCCCTAACTCTTCACATTAACTTATCTACCCAATAGCCTGTGGAGATGTATGGACGCCCGTCTACAGCCTAGAGGATCCACAACCTCTGTTTTGGAAAAGAAGATCTCATCAGACTGGTACAGTGTCACTGTGTAGGCATGATGGAGGATATGTTCTGAGGCCTGTCAGTACCTCAGCAGTCTGGCATGGGTCAGCAACGTCACATGGATGTCTCGAGACTTTGAATTTAGGTCATGGATTGTGTTAAGTATTGTCAAATATTATGTTTATGCCATAATGCCCACATAACCGATAATCTGATTTAAGGCAATAGACAGCACTCATTCACAGTAATTTAACTGTAGTGTACATGTCCTTTATGTTTCCTCTGTTACAGTTTAACTGTTGCTTAATTTAACTATGTGGCCTTGTGGTTAGGGTGTCTGCCCTGAGATCGGAAGGTTGTGAGTTCAATCCCAGGCCAAGTCATACCAAAGACTAAAAATTGAAGCTGGAAATCAGCATTAAGGAGATAGATTGGGGGTAAGGCCCTGTGATAGACTAGCGGCCTGTCCAGGGGGTGTACTTGTATATCAAGCTACTACTTACTAACTAATTGAACTATACAAAAAGTAAGGTATGTCAAACAGGTACAGCGACCTGGGAATAGAGAGTGAGACATTAGTTACTTGGCAACACACTATACTCTCTTTATCTTCCTTAAAATCCCTTTACAGGTGCACATATCCTTTTTCCTCTTTCGTAACGTCTGAGATCCCCAGAGATTGGAAAGCTGCTGCGGTCATCCCCCTCTTCAAAGGGGTGACACTCTAGATCCAAACTGTTACAGACCTATATCCATCCTGCCCTGCCTTTCGAAAGTATTTGAAAGCCAAGTTAACAAACAGATCACCGACCATTTCGAATCCCACCGTACCTTCTCTGCTATGCAATCCGGTTTCCGAGCTGGTCATGGGTGCACCTCAGCCACGCTCAAGGTCCTAAGCTATGTTATAACCGCGATCGATAATAGACAGCACTGTGCAGCCGTCTTCATCGACCTGGCAAAGGCTTTCAACTCTGTCAACCACCGCATTCTTATTGGCAGACTAAATAGCCTTGGTTTCTCAAATGACTGCCTCGCCTGGTTCACCAACTACTTCTCAGATAGAGTTCAATGTGTCAAATCGGAGGGCCTGTTGTCTGGACCTATGGCAGTCTCTATGGGGGTGCCACAGGGTTCAATTCTTGGGCCGACTCTTTTCTCTGTGTATATCAATGATGTCGCTCTTACTGCTGGTGTCTCTCAGATCCACCTCTACGCAGACGACACCATTTTGTATACATCTGGCCCTACATTGGACACTGTGTTAAAAAACCTCCAATCGAGCTTCAATGCCATACAACACTCCTTCCGTAACCTCCAACTGCTCTTAAACACTAGTAAAACTAAATGCATGCTCTCCAATCGAACGCTGCTGGCACCCGCCCACCCGACTAGAATCACTACTCTCGACGGGTCTGACCTAGAGTATGTGGACAACTACAAATACCTAGGTGTCTGGTTAGACTGTAAACTCTCCTTCCAGACTCACATTAAGCATCTCCAATCCAAAGTTAAATCTAGAATCGGCTACCTATATCGCAACAAAGCCTCCTTCACTCATGCTGCCAAACATGCCCTCGTAAAACTGACTATCCTACCGATCCTTGACTTCGGCGATGTCATTTACAAAATAGCCTCCAACACTCTACTCAGCAAACTGGATGTAGTCTATCACAGTGCCATCCGTTTTGTCACCAAAGACCCATATACTACCCACCACTGTGACCTGTACGCTCTTGTTGGCTGGTCCTCACTACATATTCGTCGCCAAACCCACTGGCTCCAGGCCATCTATAAATCACCGCCTTATCTTAGCTCATTGGTCACCATAGCAACACCCACCCGTAGTATGCGCTCCAGCAGGTATATCTCACTGGTCATCCCCAAAGCCAACACCCCCTTTGGCCGCCATTCCTTCCAGTTCCCTGCTGCTAATGACTGGAACGAACTGCAAAAATCTCTGAAGCTGGAGACTCTTATCTCCCTCATTAACTTTAAGCATCAGTTGTCAAAGCATCTTACCGATCACTGCACCTGTACACAGCCCTTCTGCAATTAGCCCACTCAACTACCTCATCCCCATATTGTTATTTATTTTGCTAATTTGCACCCCAGTATCTCTATTTGCACATCATCTCTTGCACATCTATCATTCCAGTGTTAATACTAATTGTAATTATTTTGCACTATGACCTATTTATTGCCTTACCTCCATAACTTGCTACATTTGCACACACTGTATATATATTTTCTGTGGTATTTTTGACTTTATGTTTTGTTTTACCCCATATGTAACTCTGTGTTGTTGTTTTTATCGCACTGCTTTGCTTTATCTTGGCCAGGTCGCAGTTGTAAATGAGAACTTGTTCTCAACTGGCTTACCTGGTTAAATAAAGGTTAAATAAAAAATATATATATACAAAAATATCCCATAACCTTAGTATAAAAGCTGTTTTTACCACTCTAAAACTGACCAAGCCTGGACCTGCCAGTTAAAATATGAAGACTATGTCAGTTCTGTTGGTGTCTCTGGGTCGCATGTTCAGAATGATAGCCATGAAGAGTGAAAGACATCATTCCCCAAGTGTCCTACTTTATGTAGACAGCCAGAGTAGGGTGGATGAAGAGCAGATTGACAGGCTGGGAACTGAAGCTGAGGGTGACCCTGGTTCTGAGCTGACGGGACAGACTGCGATCTGGGCTGAGCTGAGGGCATCGGAGAGACATGATTGTGGAGCAGGGAGTGGAGCTGAGGTTCACGGAGACCAGAGTGACAGCTGCTGAGAGCCACGTGAACCAAGTTAAGAGAGAGATTGAAGGTGAGCTGAGAAAAGAGACATGTTTATGTAGTATATACAGTATGTACACTGAGTGGACAAAACATTAAGTACACCTTCCTAAAATGGAATTGCACCCCCCCTTTAGCCCTCAGAACTTCCTCAATTCGCCAGGGCATGGACTCTACAAGGTGTCGAAAGTGTTCCACAGGGATGCTGGCCCATGTTAACTCCAATGCTTCCCACAGTTGTGTCAAGTTGGCTGGATGTCCTTTGGGTGGAGGGCCATTCTTGATACACACAGGAAAGTGTTGAGCGTGAAAAACCCAGCAGTGTTGCTGTTCTTGACACACTCAAACCGGTGCGCCTGGCACCTACTACCATATCACGTTCAAAGGCACTTCAATATTTTGTCTTGCCCATTCACCCTCTGAATGGCACAAATACACAATCCATGTCTCAATTGTCTCAAGGCTTAAACATCCTACTTTAACCTGTCTCCTCCCCTTCATCTACATTGATTGAAGTGGATTTAACAAAATACATCAATTAGGGATTATAGCTTTCACCTGGATTCACCTGGTCATGGAAAGAGCAGGTGCTCCTAAAGTTTTGTACAGTCAATGTATATGCACTTTAGCAGTTGCTTTATCCAAAGCGACTTACAATAGTGTGCTCATACATTTCTGTATGGGTGAATTTAGATTAGTTTAGATTTATCCATCTCTTGTGGACCGACTACGTAACATATTCAAGCATCTGACGCAATTGCGTAATATTTTGGTTCTGGGTGTCCGAGATTAGAATAACAGTAACAACAATATCTTGTTCTTGTCATTTCAGCTCAAGCAGACAAGCTGATGGACATAGAGGCCAAGATGGCAGCTGCTGAGAACCACGTGGAAAAACTGCAGACAGAGAATGAAGGTAATTCATGATACATTAGATTAGATAATCAGGCAACAGTAGAATGAGCATTTATTTGTAATCTTATATTAACCATATTTTAATACATTTGTCATTTTAGCACGAGCTGACAGACATGGGAGCCAGAATGAAAGCTGCTGAAAGTTGGGTGGAGGAACTGCAGAGGGTGAATGAGGTAAACAATGTCAATCAAATACAAAACAGATACAACTAACCACAAGAAACATGTACATTTCTAATTAGATTTTTTGCAAAAGCACAAATGATGTTTGGCCATCTCAATGCTGGCTGTGATACATTAAGAGGACCACAATGGAAATAAGCCTACGGCCTTTATTGTGTTTTTATCTTCAAACATTTTAATGAATGTATTGTTGTCTCCTCCTGGAGAAACCAAATACTTTTAATTATCAAATAAATCAAACATTTAAGCAGACAGTCTTATCCAGATCGACTTACAGGAGCAATTAGGGTTACGTGACATGCTCAAGGGCACATTGACAGATTTTTCATCTAGTCGGCTCTGGGATTTGAAGCAGCGCCCTTTCAATTACCTCTCGGTTACCTGCTGTTGACAATAAATGAATTCCTGTTTTCTTTAGTCCAAGCAGCGGAGCTGCGTTCAATGAGAGAAAATGTGAATACCACAGAGAGCCAGGTAGAGGAACTCAAAGTAACTGTCCAATGAAAATCTCACTTTTAAAAGTTCATACTCTGTTAACACATACCCAAATAATTTTGTTGACTCATCTTATACTCATATTTGTGGCCAAAGCATAAATTTTGAGAAAAAACACTTCTAAAACCCCACCTCAAACTTGTATCTCAAACAGACTGTTTAAAAAAATGCTTGCTGTTTCCTCATAGTGGATGATGTCATCCTCCTGAGGAAGATGAGCTGGCCAATCAGTGGTCTACTCTCATGAATATTTTTAATGACCGGTATAAACCCACACCATTGTGTTGTTGGGGTACACCCACACCATTCCAACACAGAAAAGCTGCTTTATAACATACTTAATTACCATTTTTGGGAAGGAAAATGATTTCACTCATATTGTAATTAATTATAGGTCATATTTCATAGAAATCTGGAAACACTGTACAGTTACTTGAAGACAGACAGTGACAGTAAGTAAACTCACATGGATATAACATGTTTTCTTCTCTCTTAGTTTTGGGAGATTATAACTTGACTAATTGCTCTGCTATAAATGTAATTTCAGCTCAAACTGCAGAGCTGGGTGTCACTAAGGTCAAGCTAAACTCTGTGGAGGCCAGATTTACAGCCTGTGAGAGCCAAGTGGATGAACTTGAGAGAGAGAAGGAAGGTAAAATGCAGACTGGGGAGTAAGCCATGTGCAGTGCAGTGATTAAGCAATCATGGGAGTTCAGGGCTAAAAAACAGTTTATTACTTGGTTTTAGCACAAGCTGAGAGGTCTGTCTGTCAGGTCAAACATCAAATAGAATCAGGTGGCTGAACAGAAGACTGTGGTGGTGAGGCTGGAATCATCAGTAGAGGCTTAATGTCTGATGGTAAATTATGATTGCGCTGGAAAGTGTGTGAATGGTGAGTGTGTGAGCATAAAAAGTGTAAGAGTGATAGGGGGGGCTGTGTTTTTGCATATGTGTGTGTATGTGTGTACATGTGTGTTGATTCTAATTTCTTTGAAAACCAACTTGTGTTGCAGGAGGGAAGGTGGCATTCTCTGCTTCACTTTTGGTATCTGGTCACAGAAACACAGGACCTCATGACTATGAAACCAAACTGATCTACAGAAACGCCTTCACAAACATTGGCAATCATTACAACTCAGGCACAGGTACGGTATTTATGTTTTATTTGTGGGTGGGGGTTCTAATTCAATCTTGTTCTGTTCCCATTATACTCTACATAATTGTCTAGTTTTCTGCTAACACTTGGTAACAACAATGCCCACAGAAAAATGCCAATTGCCTAAACTGCATTTAATGTCAATTTAATGCTTTTGTGTGAATTCTTATTTCCCCAACATCCAATGACAGCCACTGATACTCCTTGGTTTAATGGACTGACTTTTCTCTTTCGAAAACACTTGACTTCACAGCACCAGTGAGAGGGGTTTACTATTTCAGATTTATCGGCCATTTTGTGACTGAAAGAATGATGGCATTAAGGTTGTTTAAGAATGACCAACCCATTGTGATTAAAGGTGATCGTGCCTTCCTAAAGATGTTGAGGATAGTGCGTCCAATGGTGTTGTTCTGCATTTAGGAGTGGGATATGTGGTGTCAATGAGGCTTATGCTTGGAACCCACATATGGGATGACCAATATCAAAGAACCACCTTCAGTAGCTTCCAATTGGAGAAGATTGTAGTACAGAGAAGAAAATTGCACAGTGTCACACTATAAAGTTGATGATACAAAAGCACAGCATGGAAAACTTTGATTCAATCAAATCAAAGAGCCACATAATTTGTTTTATTGAATTAGAGTTCTGTTACTTGGATTGGGTGTGTTATGTGAATCAATAGTTTGAGCAGAACCACAATATTTCTGTAATAAATCTGGTATTTCAATCTGCAAAAGTTGTTGTCTCCTTAGTAGCGTACTGTTCTGTTACAGTCATGGTATTCTACATCTTACATTTTTATTCTGACATTCAATGGGAACATCATTATTGCTTTATTGCTATTAGGTTGAGAAAAATGGCAATGAACAAAATGGCCAGCCTAGCATTGTGCAGGTAGGCTACTATTTACCTACTCACTCTGTACCTGTTTCAGTGAGCATAAGGTCAAGTCTCAAACACTGCCCTTTAACAAAGGGACACTTTGGTTGAGGCGGGCATATTACGTTATGAAAAAACCCCAACAAATTCCTCAGATAAAAGAGGAGGAAAAATGACATCTCATGAATGTGATCATTGTTTCCTTCCCTTTGGTGTTTCACATCATAAACCTCTCGGAATGCAGCTGCATCACCGTTTGAGCTTTGACTCAAATCCATTCAGACGCTTTGTTGTGCAGTATGGACACACACACACTCTGCACACTGCCTTCTTTATCAGTCATCTACTACGGCCCCGATAACCATGGTGAACACCAAAAAGAGACGTGCAAGTATTCCAGGTCCCTCCATTCACTGCCAGTGGCCGTGGTTACAACAGGTTAAGTTGAGAAGTAGCATTTAGTCTCTCCCCCCCTCTCTGCTATCTCCCATAGCGAAGACTGCTTTGTGCATGTCTGTATCTCGGTGACGATGAATGATGTGAGCTAAGATCTCCACAGAGATTTCAACATGGTGTCAAAGCATGCACTCACTGTATTTGTGTCACATGCCAAGTTATCATACTGACAGATTGGTTAAGGACATAGTAGCATATCTACAGTGGGTTGCGAAAGTATTCACCCCCCTTGGCGTTTTTCCTATTTTGTTGCATTACAACCTGTAATTTAAATGGATTTTTATTTGGATTTCATGTAATGGACATACACAAAATAGTCCAAATTGGTGAAGTGAAATGAAAAATATAACTTGTTTCAAAAAATTCCAAAAAATAAATAACGGAAAAGTGGTGCATGCATATGTATTCACCCCCTTTGCTATGAAGCCCAACAATAAGATCTGGTGCAACCAATTACCTTCAAAGTCACATAATTAGTTAAATAAAGTCCACTTGTGTGCAATCTAAGTGTCACATGATCTGTCACATGATCTCAGTATATATACACCTGTTCTGAAAGGCCCCAGAGTCTGCAACACCACAAAAGTATTCACCACCCTTGGCATTTTTCCTATTTTGTTGCCTTACAACCTGGAATTAAAATAGATTTTTGGGGGGGTTTGTATCATTTGATTTACACAACATGCCTACCATTTTGAAGATGCAAAATATGTTTTATTGTGAAACAAAAAAAAAAACAGAACTTGAGCATGCATAACTATTCACCCCCACCCAAAGGCAATACTTTGTAGAGCCACCTTTTGCAGCAATTACAGCTGCAAGTCTCTTGGGGTATGTCTCCATAAGCTTGGCACATCTAGCCACTGGGATTTTTGCCCATTCTTCAAGGCAAAACTGCTCCAGCTCCTTCAAGTTGGATGGGTTCCGCTGGTGTACAGCAATCTTTAAGTCATACCACAGATTCTCAATTGGATGGAGGTCTGGGCTTTGACTAGGCCATTCCAAGACATTTAAATGTTTCCCCTTAAACCACTCAAGTGTTGCTTTAGCAGTATGCTTAGGGTCATTTTTTCTGGCCACTCTTCCGTAAAGCCCAGCTCTGTGGAGTGTACGGCTTAAAGTGGTCCTATGGACAGCTACTCCGATCTCTGCTGTGGAGCTTTGCAGCTCCTTCAGGGTTATCTTTGGTCTCTTTGTTGCCTCTCTGATTAATGCCCTCCTTGCCTGGTCCGTGAGATTTGGTGGGTGGCCCTCTCTTGGCAGGTTTGTTGTGGTGCCATATTCTTAAATTTTTTTAAATAATGGATTTAATGGTGCTCCGTGGGATGTTCAAAGTTTCTGATATTTTTTTATAACCCAACCCTGATCTGTACTTCTCCACAACTTTGTCCCTGACCTGTTTGGAGAGCTCCTTGGTCTTCACGGTGCCGCTTGCTTGGTGGTGCCCCTTGCTTAGTGGTGTTGCAGACTCTGGGGCCTTTCAGAACAGGTGTATATATACACCTGCAAGGCACTGTACTTCCTCAAAGTATGATAGGCACTGTTTTAAGATGTACGATAAACAACAGAAACAGACTTTTCTAATGCTGAAAGTCCTACTACAAACAATGATGCTTTACAGTCAGTAGGCCTACAACAATTCCTTCTCATACAGTATGGAAAATAAAAAAGGCAGGCCTAAGTGTTTATGGAAAGCGCCTGCAGTGCCAGGGAGAAGCGGTGGCTCCTTTGAATGTGCTGAGAAGTTTAGATACTACCACCAGCTACAACAAGAGAGAGAGTTCTGCTTTGCTGCACCGAGGCTGATTAAACAGCTGCCATTGTGAAAGAGACCGCCATATCTTCTCTGACAACCCACGGCTGTGTGAAATGAATGCACCTTTCTTGCTTCCCACTCCTCTCACTTCACGCTCACTCCTCTCACTTCACGCTCACTCTCCGGTTGGAAAAATGTTTTCATAATTGCATTTAATTCTACGTAGCGTGTCCCCATTATGCAACTTTAGAGGGTTTGGATAGGGAGTTTCAAGACACTTGAGACCAGGGACGGCCTGTTCAATAGGGCGATATGGGCGACGCACTGCCAAACGGGAAAAGGAAGGGATTTTTTTTCTAATCAATTATATCACGGCAACAGTAGTTATCAGTGTTGTAATCTGATCTGACTGCCACTAAATGTCAAATCAGGCTAAAGTCGTGCTTCAAATGGCCCCGCCCGTTTTTGGGCGATTTCAGTCAGGTTGAAAATCGCCCAGAAGTCTCTCATAGCCTGTCATGTAAAATCTATTTTTTTCAAATTTCAAAGCTTTCAATACATTCTCTATGGGTGTCTGTGGGCTTGCACTTACGCGCTTTCGTCATACGTGACGTAACCATGAACGTAACTAAGCAAATAGCGGCTAGCAGCGTCTCTGTTGCGACCTGCAGTGTGGCGTTATTTTATGTTTTTAATTTGTACACTTAGTGGCGTTATTTTATGTTTTTAATTTGTACACTTAGTTTACAAACATTCTGCCAACCATGGATTTCCAGTGGTGGGTTTTGGACTGATCTTGTTGATCGTGTACATACCCGCTACGAACGGACTAAATAATGAAAACGTTGCTGGCAGCGGAATCCAATACAGCTGGGAGACTTGGCTGGATGACAGAGTCCCGGACAGAGAAGTGGAGCCGGCCGGCTTCACCCTGGTCGGAGCGGACCTCGATCTGACAGTCACAGGGAAAATCGATCCTGGTAAGAGAGCGACTCTGTACCCCCGAGCCCCGACATTGAACTGCTTTCTGTGTCACTGCGACCTTACTATCTGCCCCGTGAGTTCCCCCAATTGTTTGTTACCGTTGTGTACTGTTGATAATCACAAGTTTACTGGAGAACTGAGACCAAGTAGAGACTTTGGACAGGGTGGATATGGTATAATAAAGGCAGTTTATTCAGAGGTAAAGATATCTGGAATCGCGTGCACGGACTCGTTCGTCAAACTCTTAGGGAGCTATCTGAAGAGAGCCCCGAAAACATTGTGTGCTGACATTTTATACAATAAATGATGTAGGTTGAATCTAGTAGTTCTGATCTTCTGATTGGTCCTGATGAGTTGGGCGAGGTCCCCTCCACTGTTGCATTGGCTCTGAGTCGGGTTCTCTGTCTTCAAATGTTCAGCCTAAAGAGAGGGGATTTTTGTGTGTGTGTGTGTGTGTGTTTAACAGTGATGATGTGTGTGTGTGTGTGTGTTTAACAGTGATGATGTGTGTGTGTGTGTGTGTTATCAGTGATGATGTGTGTGTGTGTGTGTGTGTGTGTCCTCAGAGCAAGAACTCGTGAGTTGGAAGAACTGAGAGACCTATGGCGTGGGTGTTGTCCTTGGCCACCTGCTGACAAGGCTGACAAGATAGGACTCTTTTGTCCATTGTTATAGGATAGGAACAGCATTGATTGAAAACAAACGCCCAACACAAAATGGGTCATGCACAAGATTTTAGTCAGACCAAGCTATAACATTATATATTTACTACGACAGTACATTCAACCAAAAGCTAATATAACAAAGGCATCAGAGATTATTTATAATCTGTCACAGAAACTGGAATCCATCTCCCCAGATCAGTCAATAAATGCTTCTGGTATTGACTTATATGCTGCCCCTGTCTTCATGTTGTTGCTGGACATATCTTTTTAAAATGTGTGTAGGTCACCTAAATCATCAGAAAAATTGCCCCTCCTGAGAATTTTTTCAGGAGCCGCCACTGCTTGAGACTGTTCAGAGAACCTCACTTCTACAGAGGTTATGACTCACAGAGTCATGTACTATCAAAGACATCAGGCCAACTTATTACAGCATTCCCCCTGAAAACACAACATCCATATCCACGTGAATGTGTCGTCCATCATATTCCCAGACTCCTTTCACTCATGTTAACTTTTAATTGTGTGTGCAGCTGTGAAAACCCCCTGGATTATCAACTCTTAATTGTGTGGTTGATAAATCAGATGGGTAGAAGAGAAACTGAGCATGGTTAAGGCATGTAAATTACCATGGGAATTCCCTATTGGAAAAAGTAAATCACAATGTTTAATTTGAGCAAAGACTTTCATCTAGGTGATTTTCTTTGTGGGATTATTGAGGTGTGAAGGCTCATTAATGGTGAGAGTGTTGGGCAAATTGCGTGCCATCTCTCTCTCTGATGGCTTAGCTATAGGGATTTATTAAACTGTGAATGTTATGGTT